CTACTAAGACAGTAAATAAACAATCTCTTTAGAGATGAAGCAAACTACACAGCCTGGTGAGGACCCACTGTTTCTTATGGGGACATAAGCCCAGTCACATCCCATGTAAAGTGTAGGCTAGGTTTAGGGTCAAATGGTAATAGAAAATACTGGTAAATGAATGAAAGTCAATGCAAAGTCCCCATGAGGATAGAAGAACAAACGTGTTTATGTGTGTGTGTGTGAGGAGGGGACAGTCAGTGAGGAGACAAGCAGAGCGCTGCTGGGGAGGAAATCAGACAGTTCAGAGTTTTCCTCATGAGTTGTTGGGACAGCTACAGTTTTTGGGGTGTTTTGTTAAAACACAGATGGTGCGTTAAAGTTTCCTGTTATTTTTGGGAGCTACAGGTAAAGTCTTGACGAGTTTGTCGTGGGTCTGGGGGAGTTTCAGCCCCCACCCCTTCTCCTCCTCTCTCTGTGTCTCCCCGCAGCGAATTTCAGGCTCTAATGCTCCGACACTGCAGCAGCCGCTTTCTGCTTTGAAACCAATTCCATCTCCATTTTTCAGAATCCCATCAACGTTTCTTTAGTTTGTTATTGCTACCATTGCTACGAGCTTTCATGCTAAAGCGAGAGTTCACTCCTCCCGACACTAGAAAACAAGAGGGGAGGAGTCAGCTGAGCCCGTGTGGCGGAGCACAGAGAGGGAGAGAGAGGAAGTAAACAAACAAGCAGGAAAATGAAACTTGTCGTCCTCATTTTTTTACCGACCTCAAAATAATTTATCGTGCAATTAATTGATTTATTGACTATCACGACAGGCCTATTTACACTTTAAAAGTACATTATATTTTTATTATGTTTTATTTTTCAGGTTAATCTAATTTGTCTTTTTTTTTAAATTGTAGAATGTTCTTCAGTTTCAAATTATGTGATCCATTGGTTAAAAATAAATGGGTCAGTTTATGGGTCAGAGTACTCTTTTTCACTGTTTGACTTGATCAAAACTTTAATAGGTAAAAGTGTGTGATTTGTACTGATATGGTATCGGGTCAATGTCGGTATCGTGTCGGAAGTGAAAAAGTTGTATTTGGTCACCCCTATAAATTAGAACCAAAATGTTGTAAATCAGACCTTAAATATTTAAACAAAAAACGGATAGTAAACTTAAGATCAAAATACTTAAAGACAAATGCAAACGATTATTCATTCACACACTTAGACACTAATTCTGTCAGTTTGAAGGCATCATGAACAGTTTAACATCCTGTCATCTTGAAAGGTTTTACTCTGAGTAGGCATGGGTTGGTTACTGGTTTCAAGGTATAATGTGATGTGAAAATCTAATGGTTTCAAGACCGCTAAAATTTTCCATCATACAGTTCCTACTGTAGAAGCATTTTTTAAAAGTCTCGTCAGAGAGAAAGTGGAGGTTTCCTTCATTTGTATCTGCAGTGAAATACAGGAACTGCTGGAGGCAGTGGCAGTCTGTGGTCGTTTAATACTGAAGAGGTGCTGTCTGTAAACCACAGAAGTCGACACAGTGGACGCATCAACGACAGGTAAGAATGGAAGAATGAAAGATGTTGAGAGGCAAAAATTTACTAAATTTGACCAAAAATAAACCAAAGAAAGTAAAATGCAGACTTGTCATTCCATGGCAGGACAGCAGCAGTGAAAACACCTGGAACACTAATACGCTGCAGCCGTGACTACGTCCTCTCCTGATGGGTAAGTTTCAGAAAGTTAGCTTGTTTGTCAGGTTGACACCATATAAATCTTATTTTTAGTGACTGCACTTGGTGCGCTAGCCAATTGTCTATAATTTCTGTTTGTTTACTATCAGAAAACAGTGTTTGTTGGATGCAGACTAGTGACTGCAGTTTTCACTCATTTACAGGCCAGCGGTCACTCTTTCAGAGATGAGGATGTTCTCATTCTTGATAGAGAGGAACGTTGGTTTGAGAGGAGTAAAAGAAGCCATTTTTGTGAAGAAAGACCATCCATCATTAAACAGAGGTGGAGGCCTCCGTTTTCAGCTGTCCCCCTCCTACAGCGCGGCCATTGCCAGTATCACTCCACCCCTGTTAACAATAAGTGTTAATTAGGTGTCAACGATAGCCATGTGATGTGAGTATCAGTCACACGGAGGCAGGGCTTAAAAGCCTGAATTTTGCCTGAAACTCTCAGACTGAAGAAGTCTCTTGGAGAGACGAAAGGTTTCATTAGAGAAGAACCCGTCCAGAAGACCTACATAGTTTTTTTCTTTTTGATTTTTTACCTGGATTACTGAGATGCATCAGGACAATTGTATTAGTTGTTTGTTTAAAAGACAACTTGCAGTTTAATTTCTATTTAATTACATTTTTTATGATCACACACAATGTTAGAAATACATGTGATTTAAACCATTAATTTTAAGTTTTATTGGGTCATTATTTTAATTTGTTATGGGAAATTGTGTTAAAGTAGAGACTGGATAACAGGGTGACATGAACAGGTGTGAGCAGGTGAGACGTGCACTGGAGCTGGAACAAAAGATGCGCCCACAGGAAACAAAGATGTACGCTGAGACAGAAATAACCGTGACTAATCAAAGAAATAATGGATAGATTAATCAACTATTAAAATAATTGTTAGATGCAGCCCAAAGCTGATGTATGGTTAAGAATGAAAAACCTTTAGGCTTCAAAGAGCTTTGAGTAAAACTGTGTGGCTCAGTGTTGATGTCAATCACTTAAACGCTACTGTACATTCTGTTTCCTAAAGTGTTTCAAAAATATATCATTTAATTCATAAATATTACAGCTCCACAGACCGTGGCATGTTTTAAAACAGGTCTAAAAACCTTCTTACTCAATATTTTTATTTACTTATTTTTCTTAATGTGTTCTTATATTTTTAACATGAAATCTGTATTTTATGGTCCTTGTTTTGTTGCTATTTTATTGTTTGTAGCACTTTGAGATTTTTTTGTATAGATAAAATTCATTATTATTATTCTTGTTATTATTATTTAAAAAGAGACAGAGTTCACATAAACCCAGAGTTGATTATAAGCAAGTGGTTACTTACCAATTTGTTTCCCCTCTTGATCTCCTTTTTTACATCTTCAATGGAAAATCCTCCAATGTTTTCGCTGTCTGAGTGTGACGTAACCAGAGCTGAAGAGAAAAGCTGCAGAGAACAATTGGTGAAGGATTAAAAAAGTGGATTTCCCCCCCACTTTTCCATCATAATAATTGGGCGGCTGTGGAGGAGTGGTTAGGGGAGTCGTCCTGGAACCCTGTTCCAGCCGTTTCAGTCGTCGTGTCACCCACCTCGCCTACTGATGGTGGTCAGAGGGTCCGGTGGCATTGCTCCATGGCTGCCCCACCTCTGTCAGTGTGCCCCAGGACAGCTGTGGCTGTAGCCACCATCAATGTGTGAATGTATGTGAATGGGTGAATGCCTGAAGTGTAAAGCATCTTGGTGCCCATGTGGACTTGATAAGACGCTATGTACCGTATTTATTCATGTACAATACGATCTCAAGTAAAATATGATTATCATTTTTTGAGCTTAAAACTCCTAAAAAAATCTAATCATCAATATCCCTTGTATTATATTACACCCCCCACTTTATGGATGATTTTAGGGTTAAATTTCTAGTATTATACATACAGTAAGTTCAACAAGCCATTTACCATCATTTTAACTACAACTGAAGTGCCTTTTTTTAAAAACAAAAACACTTTTTTAAAATGATTTACAGATGCTGAGTGTGACTATGTTCAAGTATTTTTTTTAGTATGACTTTGCATGTTTGTGGTTTGTCTTGTTTTTACTAGCTGTACTATTTACTGCTTTTCATACACGACAGGGGTTTCACATAAAAACTGTGCCTGAGGGAGGTCAGGCAGCGGAGTGGAGAACAATGAGCTCTTCTCACCATGCACTTGTGATGGGCCGCCACCTTCTGGCTGTCAGACACCAGCAGCTGGCCGCACTCCTTGTCCCGGCTGGTTCTGCAGAAGGCACATTTGGGCAGCCGCGCTGCAGCTCCTTTCCTCTGCCCCGACATGACCAAAGGCTCTTCTGTGTGTCCGAGAGGCTAAATAAAAACAACATCAGCAGAGATGAGGCGAGAGAGCAAAACAAACTTTGAATTAATAAATGGATTTGATGTTTAAAAATGTTTTAAAAACGAAAAAAAAGTTCTCCACATTTTTGTCTTTTATCTAGTTTAGAATCACAGCTCTTTAGAGTTGGGCATAATCGTATCGTGTGCAATTAATCGTCAGAAAAACATTAAATCGATTATTTTTGGGCACTTGATTAATACGATTAATGCCACCAGGCAGACTGACTGGGGATTACTCCTGTCAGTCCGCTCGGTGCTCCTCTCCACTTCAAATATGACGAACATTAAAAATAAAGTTCTATAATTTATCTATCAACACAATTTAAAATATGATGTATAGCCTGAAATCTGTAATTTTCACACAATTTGGAACAATTTCTTACAAAGAGCAAATCTTTCCCACTAAATTGGTCATGTGACTACAAAATAAGGGGGTCCAGGGACTCCAGGGGTTTTTATCGGCTAAATACCACAATTAATCGTGATTAATTTTTTTTATCAATATTGCCCAACCCTACAGCTCATAGTCAAACACTAAATAAAAAGCAAAACGATATAAACAATTATTTACAGGTAAGGTGTTGAGCTGTGATCATAACGTGTAACATTCAGTCACTTTGTCTGCTAAACACCCCTGATTCAATTATCTAGGAGAACATTTTTGCTTTTTTTTCCACCCAAAGTGAAAAGGATATGAAATAATAAATAAACCTCTGAAAATGAGCCACCTGAGCTTCTTTCCCAGAACTGCCAGAAAATAATCTCTGGCTCGACTACCACTTTAACTTCAAATCGGAGCAGTAACTCACAACAGAGCAGCTCTGTGTCCTGAAAACTGCAAGTTTAACTCAGCAAAATCTGATGGATCACACACCTGGTCCACAGGTTAACTGCAGGACTACAGACCCATATTTTAGAACTCACATGCTCGTGGATTTAAAGTTGACGAGATTGTGGATCATATCTACGGAGCGTACTGAAGGTTTGATCGGTCTGCTTTCCTTGGGTCAAAATGACCCACAAGGCCTCAATTTTAAAACCGAGGACTAACGGGTCATTTTGACCCATGGGCAGCAGGAGAGTTAATTAAATGCTTATTTATGCCCTACATGGTGATTTTGTGAGAGATGGGCAGTTCAGTATGTTTCTAAATTATGCAATTTAGTCCTAACTGACAGCAAACAACAATTTCAATTTAACCAATTTCACTGAAGCTTTCATTAGTACTCAGTGATAAATCTTTATAAACAGCAGTGTGAGAAGATAAGAGGTTTTAGGAGAGGAAAATGCACTTTGAAAGAATTATGTAAGTCCAAAAACAAAAGGAGAAAAATCAACAGAAACAACATGGGTTTTATTTTTCATTTCAGAGGCACCGCAGCTAAACGGGGTGTTTTCTAAAAAATGATGAAACACGTTTCTTAATTTAATTTCTTTAAAAAGAAAATAGCCATTTTTAGGCCCTGTTACCTGTTTGACTAGACATCAAGACATAGTGAGTGGTTAAATTATTATTATTATTATTTTAAATTTGTAGCACTTCTTTCATCTGCAGTTTATGAAATCAATATTTATTAATAATCCCGACTTAAAATTAATGCAAGATTTTGGTTGCAAAGCTAGCCGAAACCTGCAAATGTGTGCTGAAGCCTGCAGAGATATTTCTGTCTAGGTTTCCCAGAATAATGAGGAATCCTGTCTCCCCGTTTTTACTCGTCCACGAATGAAAGTGGCTGTATTAAAACACAAAACAGCAGCGTGCTGCGACGCCTTGATTGAGAGCCATTACAGCCATGATAGCAGCAGGGCCAGGACTTCACTGCGGCGGCGTGTGAACGCACACCATCCTGCACGAGTAAACAACAGTAAACAACAACAAATCTCCTTATTTCCGCCCATGAAATACTCTCATGCCACAATATTTCCCCACACGCCGATTCTGAAGAGGATCCGATACAAAAAAGAAGGAGTGAAAGGTAAAAAAAGTGCTGCAGAATCCTCTCACAAAGTTTTGAATTAAAGGGGGTGTGTGTCTCCGTCCTCTCCAACAAACTAACTGAAAACTATTTTCACTAAAACCATCTCAACGCCGCGGATATTTTCCTCCACAAGGCCCGAACATGCAGGAAAATAAAGGTCGCTGGTAGGAAAATGTGACTGTTCGGCATTCATTTCCCGGTGGAAGAAGGGGAAAACTGCGAATATTTCCCCTTTAAATGCGGGGAATTATCATGCGAGGCGCGGGTCTTTGCAAACCGTTTCGAAGTAAAGAGCGCCATACGTGATGGATCCCCGAGAAAAGAGAGAGCAGCTCGGTTCGTACGGCAGCCTTCCGGCCTGAACCGACGACAGGCCACAGAACGCAGGAAATATTACCCGGCCCCGGCCACACAGCTCACTTCTTACCCGCTGGTATTACCTTACAGCGTTGGAAACGGACAAAAAGTAGGGAAAGTGTCCCGGAGAGCAGCAAGCTTTCTTTCCGTCCTTCTGAAGAGATTCTCTCTGCTTGCTTTTCTCACAAACGTCAAACCAGTCGCGACGAAACACAACAGGACTTCCGGGTGGGACTTTCAGAATAAAACGTCAGCTCAGAGACTGTGTGTTTGGCCTTTTTTTAATTTATTGTATGTAAAGAGTAATTTCACACATGAACAAAATCAATTTAGGCAATAAACCTTCAACTAGTATCTATACCGTCATATACAAAATAAATAAATCATTTATAGTTGGGCAGTTTGTGTCATTATCATACCAGAGGTGCCCAAAGTGGCCCACCATTTGATTTTGGCCCACCAGCAGTTGTCCTGATTACTAGATTGTAATATCCTGTTTTATGTAGAAACACAATATTTCCACTTAGTCTTTTCAACCATTGGTCCAACTATACATACAAGAAGCTGTAGTCAGATAGTCTTAACTCATACTCACTTTCTCTTTGAATTATGTTAAGATTAAATATAAAATACAAGTAACTTCAAGAGGCATTTATATTACGTTTAAGTCCATATCTAGATTTGCAAACCTTATAAGACCACATTTACTCAAATTTTAAATTATGAAAAGTTTCACAAGCCTTTGCAGCCAGAGAAAACATTGAATTTTCTCCATGTCCGTGGACTGAAAAAACAAACAAACAAACAAACAAACAAACAAACAAACAAACAAACAAACAAACAAACAAAAGAATGTGGGCAACTATACTTTCTGCTAGCTTAACTGTAAAAAATACAACTTTATTTGAGAAGTATTTGCATTTCATGTTGTATATTACTGCATTCCGCCCACCGCCCTCAGAATGATTTTAATTTTGGCCCTCTCAGGGAAAATGTTTGGGCACCCCTGATCTATACCAAATACAGAAACTTTTGGAGAGGGTTTATTAAAACTCTCCAAAAGTTTCTGTATTTTCTGATTTTTTTGAAAATATTTTTCATATACAGCGGGTAAAATAAGTATTGAACACGTAAACATTTTTCTCAGTAAATATATTACTAGAGGTGCTAATGACATGAAATTTTCACCAGATGTTGGTAACAACCCAAGTGATCCATACATACAAAGAAATCAAACCATGAATGGACAACTCTTCTGATAATTCTTTTCACTCCTCTGTCAGAAATCTTGTGAGGAGCACCTGGTTGTGGTCGGTTTATGGTGAAATAATGTTCTTTCCACTTCTGAATTATGGCCCCAACAGTGCTCACTGGAACCTTCAGAAGTTTAGACATTCTTCTGTAACCGATGCCATCATTATGCTTTGCAACAATAAGGTTGTGAAGGTCCTGAGAGAGCTCTTTACTTTTACCCATCATCAGATGGTTCTTGTGTGATACCTGGCCATCATTTGGGACTGAACCAGCTGATATTAACTTGCACTGACAAGGGGCAGGCTTGCTTTCTAATTACTGAGAGAGTTCAGCTGGTGTCTTGGCTTTCCATGCCTTTTTACACCTCCCTTTCTTCATGTGTTCAATACTTTTCCCTGTGCCATTCCACATTATTACAAATAACTTCATTTCTGGTTGATATGGTTTGATTTTTTTGTATGTATGGATCACTTGCTGTTACCGACATGTGGTGAAAATTTCATGTCATTAGCACCTCTAGTAATATATTTACTGAGAAAAATGGTGACGTGTTCAATACTTATTTTACCCGCTGTATATTTAATTTTTCCAATATTCTTCCAGTTGCAGGCTTGACCAAAATACAATATTTAATATATATATATCTAAATACTATAATTTACGTACTATTGTATCAAATGAAATTTTGCACAAGATTAACTTAACCTGTTGCAAAATTTTAAGCCATAGTAAGTTAAGAATAACACAGTGACCAATTCTATTTCCCATTCAATGTTGATCTTTTTTTAGATTAACATGAACGTTAACAAGAAGTTATGAATAAACTACAAACAGTAAATTGATTCACTTGACAAATATTTTCAGATCAAGTAGAAGGTAAAATAATGATATTCTGTTGTTAGAATAAATATAATCTGTGTCTGTCGCCACAGAGAGTCATCCTCCTCCGTCTTACTCTGTTCTCCGTATTATATAAACTCTTTGATCTGGCCTCTTTAACGTCATCTCTCAGTTGTTCAACCTGTGCTGTAACTCTGATGATTTCATTCGTAATCTTATCCATCCTTGTCACTCTCGCAGAGAACTTCAGCATCAGCTCTGACACTTCCAGTTCTGTCTCCTGTCTTTTTGTGAAATCATCATCATCAGGATAAGGGAAATTTGGAGCCAGAATTTAATACTGTAGGTAGCTTCAGTTAATTGAGGCATTGGTTTCTCCAAACTGGTTACAGCAACTGGGAATTGAACCCCCAACCCACAATGCACTATTGCTACACCTTCTGCAGGTGCTACTCCCACAGGAAGATGGTCACATGTAGCTTGTTAGGGCTCTGTGGACCACAAGAATAAAAGTCCAGCCACCAGGCACTCACCAGCAAGTCTCTATGCTGAGGCCTTGATATCTTTAGAGTGGACCAGGTCCCGTGGTGTTGTATTTAGGAAGGGTTGTTGAATCACCACAGCAAAGAAAACAACTCAGATCTGGGGTGGTAGTAGTTGATAACATTTGGCAGCACATACTCCAAGTGTTACATGTGTGAAATGTCTTAAAATTATGGCATCACCCACTGTTCTCAACCCTGTCTGTCTGTTAGCAAAATAACTCATAAACCAATGGACAGATTTCAATGAAACTCTCAGAAACTGATCAGTGGACAAATACTGATTAACTTTAGAGTCATCTCAGTTCAAGATGTCTGCCAAACACTTAGCAAACACAAAATATGCAGATTTTAATGAAAATCACATAAAGGAATGATTGTACATCTAAAACTGATTAAATTTTGGAGTAAGTCCAGTTCAAGATGGTCATCTAAGCTAATCAGCATTAGCCAATAAAAAAAATGGATACTGATACTGAGCTAAAATGTCATGTAGTGCTAACAGATCTGAGGCTAAACACAGTGTTTTACAAAGTTTGACCAAAACAGCTGCAAGTCTTGTTTCTCATCATCAGATGAACTCAGTATAACACTCTGGCATTAAAAGGCTGCAGGTGATAAACATTTCTTTGAGAAATGTTAGGCCTTTAGTAATTAGAACTCAAAGATTTGGAAACATTTAAATGAGCTTAAGAAGGAAAAACCATTAACTTAAAAAACTGAAACAACTTTGTATAAATGAATTAACAATATTAAGGACAACAGAATACATACTCAAATATGACAACATATGAAAACTTAGAGAGAAATGTTTACAGTTTGGATGATGTGTTATTATGATGAAGAGCAATTTAACAATATTAATATAACAAATGAAGGTTTTTCTATTATCCACTTCAATAGTAGAAGTATAAATGCAAATTTATTTAAAATAACAAATTACTTAAAACAGTTAAACAGAACTTTCTCAATAATGGCACTTTCAGAGACGTGGCTTCATGAGTCAAACATAGAAAATATTTACATTGAGGGGTATGAGTTTTATTACAAGAACAGAAGCAACAAAAGGGGCGGTGGAGTGGCTCTACTCGTTATTAAAGAAATAAAATGTAAAATTTTTAATAAAATGTCATTGATTATAGATAATATTATGGAAATAATAACAATTTAAATAATAAATAAGAATTCAAAAAATATAATTATAAGTTGTGCATATCCATCACCTGAATCAAACATTGAACTATTCACTGATAGAATCATGAACATCTTGTTGAGAGTTGTAAAAAAACAGTCATTTTGTGTGGTGACTTTAATATTGACCTGGGTAATAAAGCAGACTCAAATAACATTGGTACATTTATAAACTCAATGCACAGTTTAAATCTTTATCCACTAATGTCAAAACCTACCAGAATCACAACTCACAGTGCAAAAATAAGTGACAACATTTTTACAAACACAACAAATGGAGAAGTTTTGGGTGGTATTTTGACATCTGATGTAAGTGATCACTAACCATTTTTCATGATTTATAAAAAACAATCAATATAATACAAAAGTAGTTCAAGAAAAAAATAATAAACACATGAAAAAAGCTTTGGATAAATTAAAAGATGATCTAAAAAACAAATCTGGAGAGGTGTGTTTGTTGATGATGTGAACAAAGCATATGATTTGTTTATAAATGTTTTAGAAGATCTGTATGAAAAAAACTGTCCAAAACAATTATACAAAGAGAAATACTGTTGACAAACCATCGATGACAAAAGGGTTGAGAAATGGGTTATGTTATTGAACCATTTACAAATATCTGTAATCTATCATTTTCAACTGAAATATTTCCCGACAACATGAAAATAACCATCCCATGGTAATCCCTCTCTACAAGAGAAGTGAGAAACATATGTTTACAAAAAGACCAATTTCATTATTACCACAGTTTTCAAAGATTTTGAAAAAGCTGTCACCAGATTAGATCAGTTTATTGATAAACAAAATATTTTAAGTAAAAATCAGTATGGTTTTAAAGCTAATAACTCAACATCAATGGCTCTCATGGACCTAACTGAACACATAACAACAGCTGTTGACCAAAAACAGCACCGTGTTAGTGTTTTTGTTGATTTAAAAAAGCATTTGACACCACTGACCGCAGTATTCTTCTTGGAAAACTAAACAAATATGGTATAAGAGGTCCAGCACTACAGTGGGTATCAAGTTATTTAACCAATAGGAAACAGTTTGTACAAATTAATGATGTAAGGTCTGAACTTTGTAATAGGGTTCCACAAGTTTCTGTACTGGGACCAAAGTTGTTTCTTCTATATACAGTACAGTATTAATGACTTGGTAAGTATGAAGGAGTTGTTTAGATGTGTTTTATTTGCAGATGACACTACATTTTTTTGCCTGGGTAAGAACATAGAACAGATGTTGGAAATGATGGAAATAGAATTTGTAAAAGCACAAAATTGGTTTAATAAGTAAAAGTAATAAGTTATCATTAAATATGGATAAAACAAATTACATGATATTTAGTAAAATTTGTAGAGTCAATGAGGTGAAGTTTTTGGGTGTCATCATTGATGAAAAACTGACATGGAGACCCCATATAAATTACTTAAGAACAAAAATGGCAAAATCTATTGCAGTACTGTATAAAGTTAAGGAGTTATTTAATGATAAAGCACTATTTATACTATTTAATGTAATTATAGTTCCACATTTGATTATAGAAGTATAGAAGTCTGGAAATGTATGTAAAACCATTACTAATCCTATTTTTATTTTTAAAAAAGGGCCATAAGAATTATCACAATAAAGCATTACTATCACCCGTCTAATATATTGTTTCATCAATTAAAATTATTAAAATTTCATGAGTTGGTTGAATATCATATTCTGCAGGTAATGTATAAAGCTCATGAAAATGTGTTATCTTCAAACATCCTATCAAATTTTGTTAAGAAGGAAATCTGCTATAATTTGAAGGGACTTCAAATGTTTGTTAAACGGAAAATTCAAACAAATTTGAAGGACAGATGCACTTCAGTAAAAGGTATAAGACTATGGAATAATCTGGAAAATGATTATAAAAGCATTGGATCAATTAATTCCTTTAAAAATGATCAAAGTAAAATTGTTAAAGAAAAATGAAATTGTTTAATTTGAATTTGTTTCAGTTAGTGTTTGAGGAGTTGAATTTTTTGTTTAGTTTTATTATCTGGTTTATTGTTGTTTGAAATTAGTATTTTTTTGTAAATAGGAGCAGATATAAGATTTTTTTCTTCTGCTGCTGCTTTTCGTTTTATTTTATTTGTATTGTTTTGTTGTATATAACGTTTCGTTTTATTTTTTATAATGAAATGAATAAATACTATAAAGAAATTTGCATTTTGTCATAAATTGAATCTAACTTAATTATAATTGGATTTGATTTAATCTTATGCAAGTTGATTTTTGACTGATTTTGGACCAAATTGGATTGATTTCAATTTGACTTAGACTGTGTTTTGTTTTCTGTTATTTTATTTTATTTATAAAATAAAGGGTTCTTCAGGGTAAAGTGCCCTGAGATGACTTTAGCTATGAATTGATGGTATTTTAATAAACATTGAATTGAGCTGACAGATCAGTTTTGAATGATGAGGCCATGTGATAGATGAAAAGGAATCAGTATCAGTATGCTAGACAGATACTTACCTGGCTCAGTCACCAGACCTACATCTCACTGACGAAAGAAGAAAATTATACAGAAATTTATTGTCCACATCTTGAGCTAAAATCTACCACCTCTGTCCGTCCGTCCGTCTGTCCATCCGTCCGTCCGTCCATTTTCTGCTGCTTATCCAGGGTTGGGTCGTGGAAGCAGCAGCCTAAGCAGAGAGACCCAGACTTCCCTCTCCCCAGCTACTTGGGCCAGCTCATCCAGGGGAATCCCAAGGCGTTCCCAGGCCAGCCGAGACACATAGTCCCTCCAGCGTGTCCTGGGTCGTCCTCTGGGCCTGCTCCCAGTGGGACATGCCCGGAACACCTCACCAGGGAGGCATCCAGGAGGCATCCTAACCAGATGCCCGAGCCACCTCATTTGGTTCCTCTCGATGTGGAGGAGCAGCGGCTCTACTCTGAGTCCCTCCTGGATGACCGAGCTTCTCACCCTATCTCTAAGGGAGAGCCCAGACACCCTGCGGAGGAAACTCATTTCGGCCGCTTGTGTCCGCAATCTCATTCTTTCGGTCACTACCCACAGCTCGTGACCATAGATGAAGGTAGGAACGTAGACCGACTGGTAAACCGCGAGCTTCACCTTGTGGCTCAGCTCTCGCTTCACCACGACAGACCGGTACAGCGCCCGCATCACTGCAGATGCAGCACCAATCTGCCAGTCAATCTCCCGCTCCATACTTCCCTCATTCATGAACAAGACCCCGAGATACTTAAAATCCTCCACTTGGGGCAGGACCTCCTCCCCGACCCGGAGGCAGCATGCTACCGTTTTCCAGCTCAAGACCATGGTCTCGGATTTGGTTGCACTGATCCTCGTCCTGGACGCTTCACACTCGGCTGCGAACCGCTCCAGTGGGGGCTGGAGATCAGGATCTGATGAAGCCAATAGGACCACATCATCCGCAAAAAGCAGAGATGTGATCCTGAGGTCACCACAAAGGATCCCCTCAACACCTCGGCTGCGCCTAGAAATTCTGTCCATAAAAGTTATGAACAGAATCGGTTCTACCACCTCCTCTGCTCCTTTACTTGACATGTAAGGCTATGAATGCGTTTCCATTTATTGGACCCACATCAAAAAGAATGTTTCAATGTAATCACTTCAACCAGAGCAAATTGCTGAGTCATCACAAAATGTCACTTTCACAAATTCATGTCTGTTTTCTACTGTTTTGCTGTTAATTGTTGTTTAATGGTTTAGCTAGGAGTTCCTGGATGTGAAAATCCATTTTAAACTTCCCATTTTAATTAGCTGATTTTGTAATTAATTTGCAGTTTAGTTGCAGACATTCACTTTTGTTTCTGCCAAATGGTTTCTCAGGTTTTTAGCAGGCATTTTCTTTTTTTCAAAACATATTGCCTTGGTTTTTGTTCTGGCGTGATGTTTTCCCAAGGTCTGCCTAATTTTTAACTCCCGTCAAAAAAAATAGTTTTTCAAAAATAATATTTATATTGACTGCTTATTGTTCAAATAGATTTTTTCATGTCATCAAGTTTTAATTGCATGTTACAATATACTTCTTACCAGTGTTGTATAAAGTACCACAATGTGATACTTGAGTAAAAGTACAAGTATCTTACCAAAAAATTACTTTGGTAAAAGTTAAAGTATGCTTTAGGAATATTACTCGAGTAAACGTTTTAAATTATCTGCTATTTTTTGTACTTAAGTATTAAAAGTAAAAGTATTGATTTAAAATGAGCAGTTAGATTTTCTGTAATGACATTCATTAGGAGGAGACCTCTGCCCCCCAAAAAATGCATAAATGACTGTCTTATTAAAATAATAAATTTRTGTTAAATTTAGGATGCACTAGTCTGTTTCAGTTTATGTACATATATCAAGGCTGCACAAACATTTTCCCCAAAAAGAAAATTTATCTGAGGGCTGGGGCCAAATGCAATAATATAATACAAGAAATACAAATACTTCTTAAGTACAGTACTTTTATTTTAATGATTATATCCTGCTGGATATCCTACATGATTTGTTTGTGTACAAACTAATATGGTATCAGAATTTGATTTACTTCTCATTCAACCACAATAAAATTCCCTCTATTGAGAAAACACAATTTATATGGATAGTATTCATTTATTTTTTTAAAATGACAAGATGGAATGAAAACAAGCAAAAATGAAATAAAAGTAATGACTTTCTACTTTTTGCCTTTTTAAAAAATGTGATAAGTAAAAAGTACCATACCATTGTGTGAAAATGTAAGAAGTAGAAGTAAAAAGTAGGCTGAAAAATAATTACTCAAGTAAAGTTCAGATACCCAAAAATTCTTCTTAAGTACAGTAACAAAGTATTTGTACTTAGTTACTTTACAACTCTGCTTCTTACATTGTGACAAAAAGTTTTTCACCTTAATATAATACACGTACTGGGTATGTGTATTTATTTCATGTTCAAAGCACAAATTATTTTATCATTCAAGATAAAATTATAGTATGATAACTTGATATTTATTTTACTTCGTGAAAAGAAAGTATAGTAATAATGTAACATCGTTTTACCTGAAAAACAAACAAACAAACAAACAAACAAACAAACAAACAAACAAACAAACAAACAAACAAACAAACAAACAAACAAACGAACAAACAAACAAACAAACTTGAAAGCACATGGAGTTATGTGAAACAAATTGACTTATAAAACGTTTTGCATTACATGCTACAAGTTGTATTTAATTATTAAAGAGTGGCATCAATGTGCTTCCAAAAATGTGTGCAGTTTGTTTATTTATTTATTTATTTATTTATTTATTTATTTATTTATTTATTTTCCGGTGTTTTATTTGTGTAATTTCCATGAATTGAGACACTTTCACTTGACGAATTAATAAATGACTGTAGATGAAAAATATTGACATTTGTTGGAGACATAGTGAAAAATAAACCTTATTTATTCTCTTCAATAAAAGCAGTCTAGAACGCTCCATTTTACTTGTTTTCAGCCTTTTATTGCTCGAGAAAAAAGATGCGCTTGATTTTTTTCAGGGGCAGCCCGTTAGAAGGAGTTCCATAAAGCTCTCCCTTGTTCCACCGACAGGAAGTAACGTTCGGTATAAAAACATGCGCACCGTTCCTAGAGAGGGCGTCTCCTCGAGGTTTAGTTGTGTTTTTTATGATAGGCTGAAGGTAATGACCGTCATTTTGAGCACAACATCCCCGCCCAGTTTCCCCGGGAGGACAGGACGGCTGGTTCGGTAGAAAGAACAGGGAAATGAAGTTGTCAGACAGGCTAGCCCAGTAGCAGCAGCAGCTCGCTCTGTTCAACTAGGACATTTGGTGACAGCAGTTATAAAGAAGTTTACCTGGCAGAACAGCTATGCTTATTATGCCCAGTTAGTAAAGGTTACGTGGCTACAGGTCAGGATAGCGTTTCAGACTTGAAAAAGTTAGGCTGATAAAGAAAGTGTTGACAACTTGCTATCCATCCTGCTAACTAACCTCTAACAACCGGACGTCTTTCGGTTTCTGAACTTCACTCGGTGAGTCTTTTCAGTCTCAAACGTGTTTCAGTTCTGTGGTTTTAACGAGCAGCAACTTTAATAAGCAGCCCGTTTGTTCCTCGCAGCTGCTAACTAGGTCACAAGCTGGCTGAACTTTTGCAGATAGACGTGATGTAACTTTGACATTTTAACGTCGTTACTCCCATGCCGCTCTTCCTCGTGCTGTTTTGAAAGTTAGCTTTTTTTTAATCTGTTTGTTCAGGCTGTCAGAGGTTTTTTTTCTTTTTCTTTTTGTTCTAAATTTCCGAAAAAGGATCCAAATGATTAACATTATGAACTCTACAAAATCATTTTACCATTTGAAATATGGCTATCCTAATGCTGAAAATGATGATCAGCTCGATGTACTGTTGATATTTTTGTCCGTCATAGTTGAAACCAGACTTTAAAGCTAACAGCCATGGGCGGATGATGAAACACCGGGTCCCCTGAGCAAATGCGTGAAAAGAGACCCCCCACTTATCTCAGCAGGACCTGCTACACCCAGACTGCCGGCTCTGTGCTTGAATTGTCCACTTGTTCACTGTATACTGTCACTGTCAGTCAACCATTTGGTTGTAGGTTTGTGGTCAGTTTTAACCTGAAGGTTTTTATTCACTGCACAGTACCTTACAAACTTGGTTCATTTAGGGTGTATTCACACCATGAAAGTCCTTTGGTCCGCTTGTTTGGTCCACATCAAAAGTGGGCTTTATTTTTTTCGTTTGGTGCAGTTTGCATTCACATTGTGCTTTTTGTAAACAAAGCCGCGAGGGTGACGATCATTGGGCCTCATCACATGTTCATATTCTTATCCTAAATTTCTCTTACTTTTGTTCGTACAAAGGGTTCTTACGAACATGTCACGTCAGATTCAACAAACTCCTCTATCTTCAGGAAAAGTGTGGAAATGAGCTGCGTGAATTCCACCTGTTGTATCAGTCGTGCACGCGAGAGGAGATTAGCATAATTACCACCCCAAAAACACCATATAAGGCTAGGTTTCCTGCCCCACATACCAGGAAGTGTTCATTCATAAATGACATCGCAAAGTAAAAAAGAAGATTTACGAGTTCGGAGATTGTAATCCCACACTTTTGAGCTCTGTTGCTGGGTAGCCATGATACCAGAGCCTGTCTGTATAACGTCTTGTGACGTCCACAGCCTACCCCAGTTACCACTACTGTGCATGTGTGTCAAGGACAGAAAGGCAGATGTGGCAGTGGAAGGTGTCAAAGCAGTTTGGAGAGAAAAACAAAGTAAAGAACAACAAAAAAAGATTAATCGATTATTAAATTAATCATCGATTATTTTAATAATCGATTAGTCGTTGATTAATCGATTAATCGTTGCAGCCCTAAGGAGCAGCGACCAACATCCTATGATACCGATGTTAAGGCAGATATATCGTGCATCCCTATTTATTATATATAAACCTTTAGAGCCAGCCTAATTTTAGATGGCTGCCAAAGCAAGCTGATCTTAGGAAAATATATAAAAAAAAAAGGTTATAATTCAGTCATGTATTCAAAAGTGTTGGGTAAAATAATCAATTCAGCAATATATTGCAATTATTTATTTTGCAATTCAATATTGTATTAGAAAATTCATTGAATTGATTCAGTTTCCTGCCAGTTTGCTTTTCGGCTGGGAGCGATCCAGAACCACATTGTTTCTGGACGGTCAGTGGTAATTGTTGGATGTGTTATGGTTGTTGGTCAAAACACCTTGAAAAACGAGGAAATTGTGTCTTGGCTGCCGCCTGACGACAGCCAGGGAGATGGAGGATTTAGCTGTGTTTAGAAGAAAAAAGAGCAAAACTGGTTGACATGAAAGTTAACCTTATGACACTTTATGTCTAAATTACTAAAAGTAGTATATTTGATCAATTTGTTATAGGGATGCAAGTTATTGATTAATGGATTAATCTTGATCTTATCGATCAACTAACAATTAATTGATAAGCGGACATTTTCCTAAAAACTTGACATTTCTCTTTCTATAACACGAAGGGCTAATTTTTTTACACACTAAACAAAAAAAAAATACAGTATTATTAACAATTCATTGTGCCAGTTGTGTGAGTAAACACTGACTGAATAAACAGAGAAATGTGGATTTCTCTCACATTATTAAACTTGGACATATTTCTAAAATATAACAAAACAGGAATCTGTTAAGTTGCTAGTTGGAAAAAACAATGAAAGAATAAAATAAGTAAAACACTTAATCCACACTGAATATGAAAAACTATAATTTAAACTCAGGGTAATATTTTAAGATAAAGATTAATTCAAAAACAAACTAGGAACATAATAAAATATCCCTGAAAGACATGCAATACAAATGAGTACTGGCAATTGTTTGTTTATTTTCACTCTGCTTCTATCTTAGCTGGGCTGCACGGCATGATCTGACATCAGTTACTGTTCATTAGATTGGTTTACTGGCCAGGTTATGTCACACGGATTAGATTAACTTCAAGTTAAATGTTTGTAGCGACTGTAACTTTTTGTTGTTGTTCTTTCACACAGAGTTAAAACGAACAAGAGGAAGCTAACATTAGCCACAGTTAGCTTACTGTTCTCTGTCGTCCTGCTCTTGTCTTTAGCGTCATACTGCATGATGGTTCGGTACAGCCTTCGGTACTTTTCCTTAAAGTTTTGTGTAGTCCATTATTATTGTTGTCGCAAATAAAATTAAATAAGACTCGCGCGTTTGCAGTCCCGCCCACATCAAGACGGCTTCCTGCTCAGTTTAACAGGGCTGGGGTAGAGTAGCAGCGCCCTCTGCTGGATGAAGGCAAAACTACACTGAAATAAGGTTAAACGGATGTTTTCAATTAATCGAATGGAAGAAATTTTAATCTAATAAACCTTTGTTCTACAATCAATCATAAGTCGATTACCATAATTGTTAGCATCCCTAATTTATTATCATTACAGAATGTGCATGCTTGAAAGAGCTTTAATCTCTTTTTTAATCTTCAATGTAGATGTCTTTTAACATTTTCACAAGTTGTCCAAAATGTTATAATCTTACGCTAACAGCTGTTTGGCCGCTGCAGGAGCATGTCTGTCTGTCTTTGTTTCTTTAGCTCTTGAATAAGATGTTATGGACCTGATGATACATGATCAGTGACACCACCGGCCTGCAAGGTTACAGATTTATTACAAACAAAATGTTGATGATGACACAGAAACTTTGTGTTGACTTAAAAATAAAAATAGTCAACCACAATATGAATCATTATATTTGGAGCCCTGTAACAATTATGTTGGCGCACGGAGATATATACAATTGATTTTCCTCAGGCTCCAACGTAGGGAAGCAAACACTCTACTGCCTCATTCATTTAGTGCCATTTGAAGTGTGGATTTTTGCTCAGATTGGCAAGAGCAACAATGTTATGATTTCATTCCTATTACCATCATAAAAAGTTTCAGGCTCAGGATTTATTTTTTTGACCAGTTTAAGCCTTGAGGTTTTATGTTTTCAATCCATATTTAGAACAAGTATTACTGTTCTATGGCTTTATTTTCAGATTTTTTTTCTCTGAAATGGTAAAGTATACCATTTGTTTATATTTATTTTATTTACCAGTGTTTAACCAGACAAATCCCATTGAGATCATAGATCTCTTTTCCAAGGGAGGCCTGGGCCTGAAGGCAACCTATTGTACATGGTTTTGGTTTATATGGGCAAGAAAATAAATGTCTAAAAATAATCAACTTGGACTTTAATGAATTATTTGTGTACTACTTCTTATAAGAAAATTGACATCAAAACCTTTTAAAGCCATATTGAATTGAATTGTGACCCAGTGAATTGTGAGGTTTTTAATAATAACCAGCCCAATTATAGAAACATTTAATGTGGTACTAGCTGAGATACATCTAGACTGTGGACTAACAAACTGAGTGAGATTTTGCAATATCGAGCATGACATTTATTTTCAAGATTTGACCATAAATGCTACAACTTTGTCATTTTTTAGAAGATTTTAGTTAACTGTGGCATGAAAGACTGCAGGTAATAAGAATTTATTTAAGAATGTTATGCCTTTTAATTATAGTACTTAAATTTTATTACATACATAGCGTACTACAACTCTTGAAAAACAATTGTTCTGTGCACTAGTTGTTTATATGTAATATTATTTATAATTGTAGTTTACTGAAGATTTCTGTTTTAGTTAATGCTACAGTCCATGCTTGTGTAAAGAGATACAATAAAATGTGAAACATGTATTTATATATCTGTATTAACAAAATGTTATTTCAGTGTAATGGAAACCAAAGATTTTGATTACATTTTCACCACCAATATGACTGAATTCAGTTGTCCATCATTACAGCTTCAAGCAACATTTTGCTTGTTATTTATACATCACCTGACTGAATACTTAGTGTTTAAAATGTTCTCCCCTATCCCTTATTTAGTCCCCAATACCGTGACCACAAAGTACTGAGTGAACATTTTCAACACAACCCAAGAGACACAAATAACCATCCAGTTATAATGTGAAGTTGTTTTTATGTCTCCAAAAACAGAACTCATTTTTATAGAGCAGTGATTCTCATCCACAAAATAACACCAACAGAAAGTTCTGAGCCAAACTTGCTGGTTTAAGGATACAACAAAAAATGTTTACAACATACTAAACAGTATAAATAAATTTTTATGTATTTTTCTCATTTTTCATATTTTATGACAACATTCTGTTAGCAGTAATAAAGTTTGAGTTCTGAAAATCACGTGAACAACCCACAGCGGGGTCCCACCTTAGAGTACCACACACTTAAGGGTATGTGTGTGTGTGTGTATGTATGTATGT